GCTGGACACCCCCCAGAGAAATCTTTAATTATGACCCTTGGCTACGTTTTAATTTTTATTTGCTTGTGATGTAGTAAAACTGATGTTTTCTAGTTTTTGTTTAGTTAATATTATTTTGTTGTGTTCAAAAAAAATGTGTCAATTTTTTATTTTTTAGAAAATTTGTAGGTATTTAAGTAATCTACGGGAACACGGTTTGATAACCAAGTCTATAACATTTATTGAGAGAAATTCATGTACACGTTTTATTCAAAAAATTTGTTTTTTTTTAAATTATCTTTCATTTAAAAAAAAGCCATAGGCCCTCCTGGGCTCAACCACAGCCCCCCGAAGGATTAATTTCTAGTTACGCTAATGCATACAAATAGCAAAGAAATAAACTAATTATGTGCACAAAATTATGCAGGTATCTGATGAAGATATTTTACGTGTTTTTGTTTTTTAGGTTGTCTGTTCCAAAAAGACGACCATATGCCGCGGCAGTCATTTATCAAAATTTTCAATGGAGCTATCAATTTTCAACCAAAATTTACTGGAACTATCCATTCCAGGCCTTCGGACAAATACGGGCGAACAGACCAGACATAGTTCTCCAGGATATAGCGAAGAAAATAATTTATGTCATAGAATTCTCGGCGCCATCAGAGAAGAACATAATCAGTAAAGAAGAGTGAAAAGAGGAGAAGTACCAGGAACTCCTAGAGTAAATGCGCAGAATGTACGCTGATCATTCTGCAGGGTTGGTGGTACTGGTGATAGGAAGTTTAGGAGGAGTTTAAAGACACCCTGCTCCAGCAATTGAAACTGATACCAGCGTGTTATAATGTAGCGGAACGACTTGCTGCAAGCATGCAGAAGGCCTGTGATTTTGGGCTCTCTCAAAATACTCAGGGCACACGATACGCGGATTCAGTGAACGGCTTACCAGACGGACGTCAGGAGTTGAACACTGAAAGAGGACACCGGCAAGTTTCCTTCCGAAGTGTCGGAGCTGAAGGAAGCAAACCGGATATGTAAAAAAAAAAAAAAAAAAAATATATATATATATATATATATATATATATATATATATATATATATATATATATATATATATATATATATATATATATATGCTGCTGCAGTAGCTATATATATATATATATATGCTATATATAGTATTAAGCAAATGCAATATGCTATTGCAAAAGTAATTGCAATTCCAGTATCAAACCTTTGAACCTTTGGTAACTGGTAACTTAACAGGCAGTTTATTTTACTCCAAGCTCTAAAACTATAAATATGTAGGTAGTAAAATTAGGATTAAAAGTAAAACTACTATAGAATTCCTCTAAATATAAAATATAAAGAATTAATAATTTGGGGAGAGCTTTGAATAAAGGATAAAATATTCTAAAATCAAACATTCACACTTGATACAGATTATGACATTAAGTTTATGGAATGAGAATTTAAGCACAGTAGTCTTTAAACTGTGATTTAAGCCTACACTGAGCAAAAATAGTTACACAGAGTTTTATTGGATACGTTTACTTGATACATTGTTTTTGGAACGTTCTAAATATTTATTAAAATTGACGTAAAATCGAATTTTGAATATCTTTTTCTTTCGGGGTTTTCTATATTTTTCATTTAACCCAACTTTTCACAGCATTAAATTTTTATAAATTACCGCCCTGACAGTTATCACTAGAGTTTAATTTGCAAATATATTTTTTGTATAGTCTCGTTCTCAGGATATGTTTGTCACTGGCGACACCATAAAAAGCCAACTAGAATTGTACAAAATTCAAAAGAATTGACGGCTGTTGGTTTGAATAAGTTTCGTTGGCTATTTAGGGCATCGCCTGGGATATAACGCCAGTTCTGAGATCAAGCTTTTAGGCCATACATTTCTTGCAAACTTGATGCACAACTGCACACTGTACGGAATAAGTAATTACCGCTAAGCAATTGTTATTAAATTATTTTTCAAAATTAAAGCAAAAAGATAATAATTGTGACAAAAACTAAATCTGGTTTAAATATTTTTAATATATTTAAAATAAACTTAATACGTTACCACGGCAGTGAACATAGACATCAACCGGAGGAATTCCATTTCTTCCCTTTTATTAAACAACAAATGAAAAAAAAAGAAAAAAATATTATCATGTCTAGCTTTAAACGAAACTTTACACTGTCTTCACAACAAAAATATTTGCAAAAAAATCAATGTTATCGTTTTAACCGATGCCTATTTATACTCAGATTTTACAATCATCATACAATTATAGATATATTATCAAATAAGGTCATAAAAATTTCAAATGTGCAAGTATTAATAAATTAATTAACACCAATGGTTAAATTCCTCGTATTATTATACGATATTATATAGTTATACGTATATTATTGAGTAAAAAAGTTACAGGATTCTGGTGGATTTCTATATCTTATAAAAACCGACTTGAAGTTTACTACGAGCCAATCGTAACTATAAATTTACCAATAATAAGCATTGAAGAAGATATTTGTTCTGCTTTAGATATGATCGACTTATTTAGAGAGAGTTTGTGCTTAGCAGTGGCACAAACATTTTAATAATGGCAAGAAAATGTCGCATTTATACCTATATCAAGAGCAACAGGTTCCCTGGAAAGTTGGATACGACGCGCGACGTTTCGTTTACGTCTACATCAGGGTGTTACGGACAGAGGGACAAACAGACGGACAGACGGACAGGCAACCAGAAGCTTCACTTCAAATATGCAACCAGAAGCTTCATTTCACATAGTGCGCACACAATTTTTTTTTCTAATAAAGTAATCCTAAGAATAATCCAAGGAATAATTTATATGGCACAACAACGTTTGCCGGGTCAGCTAGTTATACAGGGTCCGGGAATAGTGCGTCGGACATCTCTAGCTCCTAGAATAAAAAACTTGAAAATGTTGTTTAAGTGCAAACCTAAAGTATGTACCAGGATGTATTTTCGGAAAATATTTTAACTTCTATAGGGTGGCTCAAAAAAGTGTGAGTGGATCTGGATGACTTTTTTTAAAGGGAACACCCTGTATATTATTGCATTTTTGGCTTCCTTTCAGATCACTTTACATAATCCTAAGATATGAGTAAATCTATTTCAATAGTTTCAGAGATATTAAAAAATAAATCAAAAATATATATTTTTGAACTGTTCAATGAAAACTATATTAGATATTTACTTTAGATGGTCTGTTCTTACTTTGCTATTAATATGGTAATCGTAAATCATACAGAATGTTCAATATTTTACGCCAAACTTTCAAAAATATAAAATAATTTTACTTAACGTATTAACGTATTTTATTTTTTTATTTGACGGAGAATTAAAAAATGAACATTTTTTGTATTTAAGGTATTTCAAAATTTTTAATAGTTTTCCGGATACACGCAGTATTATTTCATATGGCGCTTTCAATGGTAAAATACGAGAGAAAAATCACTGGGTGGCTTTGATAAATATTTACTGTAGAAAATGCCATATGAAATACAAAACCGGAAATATCTGCGAAACCGTTAAAAATTTTGAAATGTTCTAAATGCAAAAAATGATCATTTTTTAATTCTCCGTCTAATGAACAAATAATATACAGGATGTCCCATTTAAAAAAAAAACAAAGAAAAATTATTGTATATTTTATTCTTGTTTGGGGTAGAATTTTGTACATCCTGTATGATTTACGACTTCCATATTTATAACAAAGTAAGTACAGAGAATCTAAAGTAAATGTCTAATACACAGTTTTTATTTCAGGACAGTTCTTGTATTATTAATATTTTTTTTAAAAAAGGCTGAAAAAATATATAATTTTTATTTATTTATTAATATCTCTGAAATTATTGAAATATATTTACTCATGTCTTAGGTTTATGTAAAGTGATGAAAGTGAAGCCAAAAATGCAATAATATACAGGGTGTTCCATTTAAACAAAGTCATCCAGATCCACTCGCACTTTTTTGAGCCACCCTATAGAAGTTAAAATATTTTCCGGAAATACATCCTGGTACATGCTTTAGGTTTGCATTTAATAAAAATTCTCAAGTTTTTTATTCTAGGAGCTACAGATGCCCGACGCACTATTGCCGGACCCTGTATATAGATTTCTTTACACAGCATACTTCTGCATTGTAAAGCTTATTGGTAGAATATAGCTTAAATCTCATAAACATAGTTTTAATGATATAATTTTGAATAGTTTTAACTGTCTCAATGTGCAGTGATACATGCCACCCCAATGAACTAGATACCAAAGTTTTTTGAGAGGTATAAAACATGTTCGTTCCATTTCAAATGTTTGTCTATTATTATACCAAGATATTTTTTAGAATTTGTTTCTTAGTGACAGATATTTTACAGAGTTTTGCTCTAGTGGCTCTCAGATCATCACAAGTGGCATCACAATTTGGCTTCTCAGTGGTATCACAATTACACCAGAGTCAGGTCAATTTGCTGCTGTTAACGAGAAAATATAAATAACTATTATAGAATAAATATTTTAATAAATATATTTCAATAGTAATAAAAGTTCGAAATAAAGGCTTAAAAATTAGTCGGAAATAAAAGTTCAAGATGCCCTCTAAAATTCTGTGCGTGCTAGCAAATTTGGCATCTGCAGGGCTGCTAGCCTATTTTAATTTTTTTTTATTGATTACCGAAATTATCCGTTATTTGAAGATTTACCGGTAATATTTTACCGATTTAACGGTATATTTAACCGGTAATGCAATATCTAATAGATAGAGGAAATAAGGGTAATTTGGAATACTGTTGGTAATTTGGAATACTCACTTATAGAAGCTATGCGTGGCGCTATCTATTTGAATATGGTATGAACTACTAGCACCGTACATAAAACTGTGTTTTATGTACGGTGCTACTAGTGGGCAACAGATTTTGTAGTGATTTTTAATTAATAGTAATAATTAATAATAATTAAAAAGAAAATCTATAAATAATTTAATATCTTTTTACAGAGTTTCACTGAGGTGAAAGGGCCACTGCAGGTATGACCGTCGTGAACGAGTGGCTGAGTGGCACACGGCTGGGCGGCTGGATCCAGCGCTGCCGCGAGTCCCGCCGCCTCGTATTGGTCATCGTCGCCATAGCCCTGTTACTGGACAACATGTTGCTCACCATCGTTGGTAAGTTAAGTTACAATAACACCCGTAATATCCTCTAAAGCGAATACCTGGAGTATCGGACAGTGTCATAATTAAAGAATTGTTTTTGAACATGAAGATTCCGTATGCAAAACTATTAAATACACTGGTCTGTAAAAAAATATCGAGCCCTCCCTCAAACATCACTCCGGTTTTCTTGTATCATTCACCATTTTTGAGAAAGTTCCCCTCTCTTCTTCTTACAGTGACATATAGAGCGTCGGCTACCTCTCGCATGTACTTGTGAAGTGTGTCATCAGGGTTTCACAAGTACACGGGACCTACAGTTTATTACCGTATCCGAACGGCACTATTTTAGAGGCTGTACAAGGAAAATATACTCAAGGTGCTTTGCCATTGCCTTCCTTGAGGTGGCATGGCGGCTCGTTGGTCGCTTTATTTAGATAAATAAATATTTTTATTTAAATAAATAAAGCGACCGTACTGGCTGGGGATCGAACACACTAACGCTGGAGCTACGGCCGGCCTTTCCCTCTCTATATAATAATATTTTTATCACTTTCCGATAATAATAATACTTTTATGGACATGTATTTAATTTAAAGAGGTGAAAAGAATTATTTTAGTTGTAAACAATAATAAATAAAAAGATCTCTATTTTTATTTGATGGTTGCTTGACATTTATACTTTGAGGCAAAACTCGTCCCAAAAACCAGCAGTACCTACTCCGCCAACATGCTTGCATTCCACTTCTCTGAAAATCTCTTCTCTAGCTTAGCAATATCTTGATATAGAACCGTTCCTCGTGTTCATCTGAGACTATTACTGTGCTATTACTAAATTTTTAGAAAAAAAGTGGGACTGCGTGAAATACAGCGCCAGAAAGTTCTCATTTCTACCGTACCGAGACCGAGCGCACCGCGAAATTTTAAAAATCAACTAACTAAAAATGTAATAATATACAGGGTGTTCTATTTAAAAAAATATAACTTTGATATTTTTTACTTATTTGGTACACTCTGTATCTTGTAAAATTATTTTTAAATTGTACCTCTAATAGTCCTTCATCGAACCCCAAACTTACAATTTGTAAAAATCTCATCGTTTAGCTACAATACTCCGTGTCGTATGTGGTGAACAACCCTGTATATCACAAAATTTGTTCAATCACAGATAACAATATGGTATGTTAAATTTGAAAAATTAAAAAAAAATCAAATTTAACATACCATATTGTTATCTGTGATTGAACAAATTTTGTGATATATATAATTTTTGGACTTTTTAACTTTTTTGTGATTGTATTTTAAATTTGACCTCTGTAATTGTATTTTAGCTTTGGGCCTGAAGATGGGAATATTTTAAATTGCCGAAACATGTCGCCCCCTTGCTTTTTTAAGCATTAAAATTTTTTAAATTAAACAACTTAAAGATTGTGAGTTATTGTCCTTCTACCCTCCTTCAAAGGTTTGCTTTGATAATATGTACTCACACTGGGTTAGAGGACGTTTAGTAAAACTTATTTATACTGTGCTTAGTACGAGCGTATCTGTAATGCATTTAATTTTCACGTTAATATTCTTGTTAAAATAATATTTACCGACTATAAACCATTATATGTCGGACTAAAAGACAAAATCGTGTTTTTATGCAACACTAAATAAATATTGTTGGCCTCTGCTCAATATGATAAAAAACGGCGTCAGCGATGGTTATTAAAAATAAATATCGCTGTCATTTTATAATATTTAAAATTATATGAGGAATGACTGCAAGGAAAGAACTTTTTTTAAAAAAAATGCCGATTTTCGTCTTTATCAAGGCTATTTTCAGCTAAAAGGTTCTTGTGTCAGAAATGATTCGCGAAACATCTATAACATAAAAATGCAAATCTACCACATTATATGAGGAATGTCATCGATGCTCATTTCCGACCCAACTGGACGCCATTTTTTTCGATCATGTACTATTTATTACCTATATGATTATTAAATCGGATTTAAATATACTCTAAAAATATTAAATTGGTATAAAGAAGTCCTTAATAAATAGTATATGAACTGGATTGATATAATTTAATATTATTGGTAAAATAATCAATCCAATTACGCCAGTGCCATAGAGTGTTGAAAAACAAATGAAAGAAATGTTTTTTTCTAGTCCCTTAAGTAATTGTCCGACCAAATTATCGCCGGTAGTGCCAGTTACGATCTTGTTTTTCTGAAACGTAAATTTTGCATGGTTCGTTCAAGTGAACGAATCGTAGGAGTCGATTCAATATGACAAATCGAATCGTGTGATTCGATTCACTAAAAAGAATCGTAATGCTCATCACTGCTCTGCATCGATGCGATTCCAAAAGGTCATATTAGAGCGGGGCTGATTTTGCAAAAATAGTCTGCTTCTGGGGTACAGATATGTTAAAACCATAAAAAGAATAGATATTTGGTAGAAAATTTGCCCAAAGAATCAGAGAAAAGTTTGACAGACGGCATCCAAAAAATTACAGAATTAAATTAATACAAATTACCTGTGAAAAAAAAATTACTGACGCAGCTGTCATGGTCATGTATCCTTTCGTTGACTACTTACCAATGTGGAGCAAGATAATCCGAAAAACAAACGGCTTCTAGCTGGCTTTGAAATGACAATCCATGACATATCACATAAAAAATGGCAGCAATGTTCATATCAAGTCACCTCTGATGCCGTTTTTATTTTGATCGAATTGTATTTAAGTGTACGTCCTAATGGAAAATGACTTTGTTTTGATCTAAATTAATGTAATACTATACAGACGGCAATAAATAATTACAGTAAAATAAATTTAATTTCAATAATAAGCTTCCGTTTTTAGAACCAAATAAAATTCCACAATAAGAGGAACAAAAGATTTTTCCATAGGAAAAAATAATTGCATTATTGGGTTTTATGAGGTCTTTGATTGCCAGTGGTGAACCATAACCTTATTTTAATGCGATAATAAAGTCTCACTCGTAAATTTTGCTTTCAGTGTAAAGCTCCTGGTCATTATATATAATCTAAAACGTTTGATAGAGATTTCGTTTTTAAGAGTGAATAAAATTCTATAATTTTATGGCACTTTATTCTTCCCACAACGGATTGAGCTATTATGTTGTGCAGCCACTCTCGCTAGCTTTTCTTTTGCTCCATTGCATTTCTGCCTCCCCAAGTCATTATTATGACATTATATTACTGGAACAGTGAAGTCGTTCGTGGCAGTATCTACGAAAAGAAAAGTGGAAAGTTTTCTTTTGCCATTATTTCTCTCGAATAATTAACACCTTCAAGATAATGCATTCCGTTTAGACTAGATTGTTGTAAAAACTGACAACTTTTAGAATATTTAAGATTCTCAAAGTGGAAAATACAATTTTCATTTTTATTTTCGCTAAAAGCATTAACTATTATCTCTATGCTGTATACTATATAATTATTTACTTGGGTTATGTTAAAAAATAAAATTTACTATTTAATTTGGCGCTCTAACGAAGAGATACAACTCTAAACTAGCTAAGTCGACTGGCTGCTTAATGAATAAGCTGTAATAGTACGTATATTTGCTTATATTAACCGAAGGAGTGTTGATTTCACCCGATTGATGCCGGACGTATGAATTCAAAGCAACAAACATATAATTTCAATACCTGGTTAGTTATTTGAGATGTTCTAAGGTAGGTGGACCATGGAAGGCCACTGTAAAGAAAAAAAAGTTTTTATTAGTTCATTTACTGGATAGATGAAAGAAACAAATTATTAATAAACACTTTGTTTTATTGTGTAACATATACATTACTTTTTAATACTAAAGGTAATCACTATTTATTAAACTTAACTTTTATTAAACTCTTCCAAACGGCCTTGCAAGGAACAGGGTCCCATACAAGGCCAATATTATAAATCAGTGTTTCAACTTAAAACTAGAGTTGTAATAATCAACATATCCGCCTTTACTAAAACTACATAAAAAGCTCTTTCATTTAAACGAGAAATTAAATGCTTAACATATTATACTCTTATTTAAAAAAAACTCAAAAAACATTCCTTGAGCACAAAAACTAAGAATATATTTTCGAAATTATTTAAAAATTATAGTAATGAGTATTACAACGATAACAAATAAGTTGCCAATGCGTTTTAGAATGACATTACAAAAAAATACCTATATTGGCCTTCTTATGAGTTTGTTCTTTGTAAGGCCAAAATTCAACTTTTTTAGCTAAAAAGTTGAATAGCCTTTATAAATAATAATATTATAAACATAAAACATTGTTTCAACTTTCCCGGTACGTATTTATAACTAAAAACTAAGTGTTCATATTTTCATTATTTATAAATGTTCCTCGTAAAGCCCATGTAGCCTAGCAAGGCCAACCGTCAAATTTTTGATTGGCCTTATAAGGAACCACCGGTATTTTTAACACTACCGATATTTTAACTAAAATCAGAAAAATTGTTATTTTTTTCTTTAGTACTATAATAAATACTTATATATGACAATTTACAGTAAAAAAATAAGAAAATAATAGGTTATTTAGATAAAAACTTACCTTTTTCTGTGTGCGCTAAACCTGTGTTTCCTAAACACGGAATAAACCTGCAAAGGAAAACTTACGTTATCTTATACAGGGTAATTTATATGGTATCACCAACATCGCAATATTCAAAATGTTATATCTGTTTTTTTAAAATACAACACCTCGTATATTATTTTTTTAGATGGAGGATTAAAAAGTAAACATTTTTTCTCTTTAAAGTGTTCGTAAATTTTTCATAAATCATATTACATATGGCTTTGCCAACAGTAATTTTTTTTCAAAGCCACCTAATATGATCTTTGTCTGGTATTTTACCATTGAAAATCCCATAAGTAATATAATAAAGCGAATATCTACATAACCGTCAAACATTTTGGAACAACTCCATTTTTAATTCTGCAGCTAAACGAGAAAAATATACAGGGTGTTGCATTTCAATAGAGCAAAGGAAAATTTGCGTT